CTGGCGGTCGAGTGTCCCGCCGCAGATAGCTCCGCTCGCCGCGCGCAAGCAGCAGGCCGGCTCCACCGCGGCTGCCCCTGCCAGCTCTTGCTGCGAGAGCTCCGATCTGGGAAGCTACAGCCGATGCCGCGTCGCCGTCTCCCAGTGCGCGTCCTCCAGGGCGCAGAGGTCGTCGTCTGGGCACACCAAGAAGCTGGCGTTTCTGGGCCCCGCTGCGCCTCGCAGCGCGGCCTGTCGCGGAAGGGGCAAGCGCTCCAGCAGGGCTGCGCGCTGTGTCTTGCCGCAACTAGGCCTTGCCGCAAGGGCGTGCGAAGCGCCGTTGCCAAGTCTCCTCCGGCCGCCGGGTCCAGCCCTCGGGCTCGAAGCCCCTGGCGGGCGTTCTCCAGCTGCCCCGCGGCGCGAGGTAGGTTCTCCAGGCAGTCAGCCAGCGTGCCGCAGCCGAGGTCCTGGGCCACCCCTGCGACGGCAGCCGCCCAGGAAGCCAGGAATGCTGCGCGTCTCCGCGTGGAGGCGAGCTGCCCCCTTCTCTGGCAGGCAGCGCCAGCAGCACCAGCGCTGTCTCCCCCAGGTCGCGCCGTAGCAGCACCTGCCAGCTGGCCGCCAACTGCTGGTCGTAGTGCGCCGTGGCTGCGCCCGCTGCCTGCTCCATCCTCAGAGAGCACAGGCTCGCTTGCCCTGCGTAAGCCTTCAGCCGGCGCTCCGTTCCCCCCAGGCTGTCCGCTGGCTCCCCCAGGCTGGCTGGAGCGCTAGCGTCCGCGTCTCCAGGCGGGCGCAGGCGCTTCCCGAGCACAGGCAGGCTCGGTGTCCAGCATCTCTGTAGGTTGTTCGTCAGAACCCGCCGTCCTGCAGGGGACTACGCTGATGTCTTGCGCTGGTTAAACCGCAGCCCGACAGGGCCGATGACTCGCTGTAGGGCCTGCAGCACGAGTTCGGCCAGTTGCGCGCCGACGACCAGGTAGCAGTCGTCGAGGTAGCAATACAGCTTCGCCTCTGGGTCCAAGCGCAGGAGTTCAACCGTGAACCCGTCCAGCGCCTCCCTCTGTGACACTGCAAAGCCAGCAGGCGAGAGCGGGTCTCCCTGGTCGAAACCCCGCGCGCTGTCAATAGGGTGGAACTGTCCCGAAAAGTCTCTCCAGAGGTGCTGCGCCGAGCCTCCGCACCATGCCCGGAGGGCAGATATACACACACACACACATACATACATACATACACACATACAGGTATGCATACATACATGCGCACATACAGACAGACAGACAGACAGACAGACAGACTGACTGACTGACTGACTGACTGACTGACTGACTGACTGACAGACCTACATATCTATACAGAAAGAGCGTGTTCTACCGCTGCTGGCGGAAAACCGGGGGGGGGTCACCACCGTAAACCCCTCCCCCCCCCCCCCTCCGGAAAACCGGGGGGGGTCACTACCAGTTCGAACCCCTCCCCCCCACCCCCAGCACATCATGAAAAGAGGGGGGGGTTCACTACCGGTTCGAACCCCCCCCCCCCCCCCCTCGAAAACCGAGTGGGGGTGCGGACAGAGGTGGGGACGGTGTTGGTGGGACAGTGGTGAGGGGACAGCGGGACAGTGGTGGGGACAGTGGGACAGTGGGACAGTAGAGGGCCGGTAGTGGTGGGGACAGTGGTGGGGACAATGGTGGGAACAGGGGGGACAGTGGACAGTGGTGGGGACGGTGGTGGTGGGGACAGTGGTGTGGGCACAGTGGGAATGAGGTGGAAACAGTGGGACAGTGGAGGGTACAATGGTGGTGGGGACAGTGGTGAAGGCGGTGGCGAGGACGGCGGTGGGACAATGGGACAGAGGTACAGTGGGGACAGTGGTGGGGACAGTGGGGACAGTGGTGGGAACAGTGGGACAGCTCAGTGGGACAGCGGCGGAGTCAGTGGGACAGTGGGGACAGTGGGGATAGTCGGGCAGTGGTTGGGGCCGTGGAGACAGTGGGGAGAGTGGAACCGTGGTGGGAACAGTGGTGGGGACAGTGGGGACAGTGCGACAGTGGTGGGGGCACTGGTGGGGACACAGTGGGGACAGTGGTGGTGAGGACAGTGGTGCTGGGAACAACAGTGGAGGATGTGATGCGGACGGTGGTAGGGACCGGGAGTCGTTTGCTGGCGGTGAGTGGGGGGGTGGGGAGGGGTTCGAACCGGTAGTGATCCCCCTCCGGTTTTCGAGGGGAGGGGGGGGTTCGAACCGGTAGTGACCCCCCCCCGGTTTTCCGGATCCGGAGGGGGGGGGGGGGGGGTTCGAAGAGGGGGGGGGGGGGGAGGGGTTAGGGGAGGGGGGGGGTTTTGCCGGGGGAGGGGGGGGGGGGGAGGGGTTCCAGCAGGGGGGGGGGGGGGGGGATTTTCGGAGGGGGGGGGGGGGGGGCGACCCCCGGGTTCCGGAGGAAAAGGTTGGCAATTTTCCGGAGTAAAGCGGCGGTGGATCACGCTCTCTCATAGATCTACATACCTACATACCTACATACCTACGTACCTACAAACCTGCCTACCGACCTGCATACATGTCTACCGACCTAACTACCTACATACCTACCTACCTACCTACCTACCTACCTACCTACCTACCTACCTACCTACCAACCAACATACCTACATACATACATACGTACCTACATACACACATACATACATACATACATACATACATACATACATACATACATACATACATACATACATACAGACAGACAGACAGACAGACAGACAGACAGACAGGCAGGCATACATACATACATAGCATACATACACCCAGACAGGCAGGCAGGCAGGCAGGCAGGCAGGCAGGCAGGCAGGCAGGCAGGCAGGCAGGCAGGCAGACAGACAGACAGACAGACACACACACACACACACATACATACACACACTGTGTTCCTCCGACGAGCCAATGATCCAACCAGCGATCAGCCACAATGGCAGCTGCGCATTGCCTTGTGAAGCAGCGTGGCTGTGCTATACTCCCAGATGCGCGCGTTGGCGACAAAGGAGGCAAACAAAAAGGACATCAAAGAGACTGGACCAGACGAGCGGCAAAGAGGCCGAGAAAAAACAACATAAAACATATGAACATATATAGATATATACATCTATATATATACACACACGTAAATACACACACACACACACAAACACAAACACACAATCGCGCTCACACACTCGCAGGGACGACAACGACGACGACGACGACGACGACGACGACGACGACGAGGACGAGGACGACGACGAAGGCATCCAGTGTCGGACAAAATACATGCCCCGGGCAGGCCGGGCCCGCGGGCGGGCGACACGCTGCGCGCGGGCCTCAGGGGGAGGAGGAGGCGGAGGAGGAGGAGGACGAGGAGGAGGAGGACGAGGAGGAGGACGAGGAGGAGGACGAGGAGGAGGAGGAGGGAGGAAGGAGGAGGAGGAGGAGGAAGAGGAGGAGGAGGACCAGTGGAAACCCAAGAGTCATCAACGATGTTGGAATCAACCCTCCCTCCAAGCTCCCTCTTCATAGGCCCCTACAATGGTTCATTTCCACCAAAGGAACTGCTTCGTTGGCAGATATCCGTTCGAAGACCCTGAAGCATACCAAAACATCGTTCTCGGGATTTCAACGCCACGCATCAACCTGACTGTTGCGTCTTGCGGATCTTGAATCTTCCCAGAACTCCATTCCTGGGGGTTCAACACCGCGAATCAGCGTAACTCTTGCAACCTCATAACCCTGAACCCGTCCAAAACACCATTTCTGGTTTGCTGATCTTGGGAATCCTGGAAACTCTTGCAAATGTTCAAAACGAATGTGCGCGCCGCTAAGGCGAGAGCCGCATGTTGAAAAGAAACCGCCCTCAACCCGTGAAACTCTTACAATGGTTTAAAACGAATGTGCGCGGCGCTAAGGCGAGAACCACATTTTGAAAACCACCCGCTCTCAATCCGTGAAACTCTTGCAAATGTTTACAACGAATGTGCGCGGCGCCAAGGCGAGAAACACATTTTGAAAACCACCCGCCCTCAATCCGTGAAACTCTTTCAAATATTCAAAACGAATGTGCGCGGCGCTACGGCGAGAGCCACAAGTTGAAAAGAAACCGCCCTCAATCCGTGAAACCCTCCCACATGTTCAAAACGAATGCGCGCGGCGCTAAGGCGAGAGCCACATCTTGAAAACAACCAGCCCTCCATCTGCGAAGCTGTCGTTAATGTTTGAAACGCTTGGCTCGCCCTAATAACTCGCCTCGGGGTGAGACAGGGAGAAATCTCTTAGAAGGACAAGGAGTGGAGGAGGATAAGGAGGAGGAGCAGGAAGAGGGGGAGGAGATGCCGACGGGGGAGAGTGAGGGGAGGGACAGGTGGGGGAGCCGAGATGGCCCAGACCCCCAACGTCGTGGTTTGTTATCGCAGCGTGGGCCGCCGCAGGCCTCGACCCCCCTGACAATGGCTCCTCACCCTGAGTCGAGTCTTGAGGGCCCCAGAGGGCCCCCCGAGGCTGAGAAATGCACAACACAAATCTTTCCGTGTGTGATAGGGGCGGCACAGGAGGAGGAGGAGGACGACGACGACGACGACGACGAGGAGGAGGTCGAGAAAGAACGAGGAGGAGGAGGAGGAGGAAGGAGGACGAGGAAGAGGAAGAGGAGGTAGAGGGTGACCAGACAATGGCAAGGGGGCCACCTCCTCCAGGCTACGGACCTCCTGGACCAGAGACACCCAAAGACACGTCCAGAGCCTCCTCGATCCTCGATCCTCCTCACCCTCGATCCTCCTCCTCCTCCTCCTCCTCCTCCTCCTCCTCCTCTCCTCCTCCCTCCTCCCCCTCCTCCTATTCCTCCTCCTCCTCCTCCTCCTCCTCCTCCTCCTCCTCCTCCTCCTCGATCCTCCTCACCCTCGACCCTCCTCCTCCTCGATCCTCCTCGACCCTCGATCCTCGATCATCAATCCTCCTCCTCCTCCTCCTCGATCCTCCTCATCCTCAACTCCTCGATCTCCAGGAAGAGCTCGTGGCTCCCCTACCGGTGGACCCCCCCCCATTTGGCGAGGGGGGGCGCGAGAGGGCGGCCCAGTTGCGCTGCGGGGCCCGGGGGCCGCGAGCGCCCAGGGCGATCCGCGAGCTGCGGCTGCCTCTGCCTCCCGACGGTCGTGGGCGCAGGCCTCGCCGTGGTGCCAATGGTACAGTGGAGGCCCGTCCACAAGAAGCCTTGCACAAGACACCCAACCCTGAGACCCCAGGACGCCCACTCATCATTTTTGGTGCGGGAGCGTCGCGCTCTTCCCATCGCAAAACCACCGGAGCCCAAGAAGCCCAGGGCCCCCTGGAGGCAAGCAGGGCGTTTCTTGGCATGCGTCTCCACTGTAGAGAGAAAGGAACAACGCCATAAACATAAACTCTTGGCGCTCCGCACAAATCTCCTGGATCTGCGCCGGTGACCCCCCTCCTCGGCGCGCGGAGGGCGCCAGGGGCGGCGCCGGAGGCGCCGCTGGGGGAGCCCAGCACGGATCCAGGAGATCCGCGCGGAGCGCCAGAAGCTTATATTTGTGGCGTCTGTTCTTCTTCTTCTTCTTCTTCGAAATGGTGGGCAAGCCAGTCCTACCCTCGTCGGAGGCCAGGCGCTGCCGGAGAGAGTCAAGAGTGCATGGACATGGCATCGGATGTGTCCTGCTCCTGCTGATGCTGCTGCTGTTGACGGTGGATGGTGCTGGTGATGATGATGGTGACGATGATGATGATGATGATGATGATGATGATGATGATGATGATGATGATGATGATGATGATGATGATGATGATGATGATGATGATGATGATGATGATGATGATGATGGACCTCGCCCTCTGTGGGTGCTGCCAAGCGCACAACTACTTTCACTGTCCTGTTGCGCCCTTGTCAAATCCACGTGCACACACGTATGTGTGAGTCTGTATGTTGGCCAACGCAAGCATGAAGAATCGTTACGTGGGAGACTCGTCTCTTAACTTGCTCCGGCAACATCACGGTAAAGAGCAAAAGTGGCCCGACAAGGTACTAACTGGCTGGGAGGTCGGCATGCACATCGCCGCTCAGGCCAGCTCCGAATAACGATGATCAAAAATCAAGTCAGTGCAGAAAGCAAAGTAGTCGGAAGTCGATGCGACCGTGTCAATTGGATCCAAACTGGATCGCCATAAAAAACAATCCGGTTCTCCACACTCCTCTCCGTGGTCCTCCTTGATTCATCGTGCAAGATTGCCCCTTCCGTGCCTCCATCAGTCTACCTCCCGTCCTCTCGCTCCCAGCATCTGTGGCTCCCCGCCTCCACCTCCACTCCATCCTCGGTGCTCTCCCACATTGCCTCCCTCCGCTTCTCGGCCCTCCGGTCCCCTACCATCTCGCTCCTTCTCCTCTCCTCTCCTCTCCTCTCCTCTCCTCTCCGCTTCCCTCTCCCCCTTTCCTCCCCCGCTTCCCCCTCCCCTCCCCGTTCCTCCGTCCCCAGCCCGCCTGCCCGCCTTAACCATACATCTGTGGCCGTTCATTCCAAGCCTCCTTCTCTCGCCCCATCTCCTCCAGCCATCCCCGCCCGCTCCGAAATGCAACATTTGCCTCGCAACGCGCTGGTCGTGCTTCCAGTGCACTGGCAACCTCCTTGGTCCCTTTACCTTCTAAATAACTCCTCCCTGTCGCAATCCCAGACGTGTCCGTAGGGAGGGCCGGGCGTTTCGCCTGCGAATTCCCCACCACTTACGATTCTGAAGCTTGAAATATGCAACAGATTCAAAGATGGAGGGGGGGTCGTTTCCAGAATGGGGCTCTCGCTTTTGCGCCGACCACTTTCAACTTTGAAGTCTTCAACAGCTTCAAGGATGGAGGGGGTCCTCTTCAAAATGGGGCTCTTGCCAAAGCGACGCGCACACATTCGACGCAAAAGCTTGCAGCAGCTTTCAAGGATGGAGAGGGTGTCGCCTTCAAAACGTGGCTCTCGCCTCAGCGCCGAGCACATTTGACTTACAATTCTGTGTAGCTGATGCATGGCTGGGGGGCGGGTAGGTTTCAAAATGTGGCTCTCGCCATAGCGCCGCGCACATTCGCCTGAAACTTCTGTAACAGTTCCAAGAATGGAAGAGCGGTTCCTTCTCAAAATGGGGTTCTCGTTGTAATTGTTACAGCAGCTTCAGGGATGGAGGGAGCGTCGATTTCAAAATGAGGCTCTCGCTGTAGCGCCGTGCACATTCGTGCTAAAGCTTGAAAACTGCTTCACAAGTAGAGGGCGGGTCGTTTTCAAAATGGGGCTCCCGCATTAGCGCCGTGCACATTCGTCTCACAAGCTTGCAACAGCTTCAACGATGGAGGGCGCTTCCTTGTGTCAAGCGGGGCTTTCGCCATAGCGACGGACACGTTCGGCTTCAAAGCCTGCAAGAGCTTCAAGGATCCAGGACGGGCTCTCGCCGTAGCGCCGCGCACATTCGAATGGGAAACTTGCAACGATTACAAGGATGGAGCACAGGTCGTGTTCCGATTGGGGCTCTCGTCTTCGCGCCGCGCGCGTTCGTCTTGAATGTTGGCAGCAGCTTCGCGGAGGAAGGGCGGGTCGGCTCCAGCATGGGGCTCTCGCCGTTGCGCCGCGCACATTCGTGCTACATGTTTGCGACAGCTTCCAGGATGGAGGGTGCCTCCTTTTGTAAATTGCGCCCTGCCGTAGAACCGCGCACTTTCGGCTTCAAAACTTGCGACAGTTACAAGGATAAACCACAAGTCATTTTCAACACTGAAGCTCTCGCCTCAGAGCCGCGCACACTCGCTGAAAACAATTGAGACAGTTGGATGGGAGACGTTTTTCTCATGTGAGCATCTTGCCTGAGACTCCCCAAAGCTTCAACACTTGTAGCACTACATGGATCGAGGGCGGCTCATTTGCAAGATGAAACTATCGTCTGAGGCACCCTTGAAGCTTATGACCACACGTGTACACTTGTGCGGCAGTTACACGCATTGTGGCGGCCCTCTGCCGAAAGGAAAGACCGCTGAACACCCCGCTGGACTGCATGACCTTCGCTTTTCGCATTCCTGCTTACCCGCCATACAAGATGCAAGATAGTTCCTTTTCAAAACGGAGCCCTCTTGAAAATGGCAGGCCGATATGGTTGTCTTTCAATGGAGGCGCTTGTTGTAGTGAAGAGGAAAGCTTGTGGGACGTATGAAGAGTGGACTTGGGACGGGAGAGTGTGTTGCAGCATCGCTGGTGCATCATGAATCCCACCAGGCCTCTGGGCGTAGGTGGTCTAGGGAGTTTCCTCTTCCAGCCCCCGTCTTTCCCTTCGAAGAGGGGGGCACCACTGTTCCCCATTAACATACACCCACTCCCCCAGGCGACCGGCGGCCAACCAGGAACCATGTTCCCACCCCCCCACCATCCCTCTCAAAAAACAATACAAAACGCACTCTGCCTCCAAATTCGGAGCATGCGCAACCAACCCGACGCGGGCCCCCCCACCATCCCTGTTTTAAAAAAAATGCAAAGTACACTTCATGGCAAAGTCTGGGTTCAAGTGCGTGAGGCCCGCGAGCACTTTGCATTGTTTTTTGAAAGGGACGGCGGGGGTGTCAGCATATTGCCTGCTTCGGGCAGGGCTACCATCCCTGACAAAACACATAATACAAAATGCACTTCGCGGCTAAATCTGGACCGTGCGCGGCCACCCCGCGATCATTGTCAAGTGGAGGGACGGCGGGGGTGGTGGCGCAAGGCCTGCTGTGCCCAGGCCCACCAGACACAAAGATGGGCATTGGTTCTCGACACGGATGGTGGGGGCCGACATGTTTACCGATGTATGCTGTCACGCGCGCAGGCACACCTGACACACTCTGCACGTGCCCCGAACGTGGCGCACCTGGCGCGGCTGGAGTATGCGGCTGGCGCACGCGTAGGCACGTGGCGCGCCTGGCACGCGTGGCGCACATCGCCCCAGCACGCGTCGCGCACATGGGCTTGGTGTTGGTTCCCAATAGCTGTCCATCCAACGACGACCGCTGAACATGCTGAGGCTCGGGTGTCACTTATGTGTTAGTGGGGCGGGTGGGAGTGAACTAGACGGCTTGCTATCTGGAGGGTGCATTGACCCCTCCTCCTCATCCTTCTTTTGGACCTTGACGGGGGCGGTCGCGAGGTGTCCGAGGATACTTGTTCGCCCAAGGCGGCTCCAAGAGAACCTCAGAAAGCCAAAGATGAGCTTCCAGAAGGCTCAAGATAGCCCAAGATGCCTCAAGATGGCTTCCAAGATGCTCGAAGAGGCCCCAAGACCGCCTCAAGGAGGCCCAACATCCTTCCAAATCAATGGTTTGCGCTGTCTCGCCCGCTCGCTTCCGATAGCCTTCCGAGGCCTCATGGTGGCCCCATGATGGCCCCAGAGAGCCTCAACAGAGGCCCACGAGAGCCTCAAGACGGCCCCAACAGCGCCTAAGAGAGCCCCAAGGGCGCCCCAAGACGGCCCCAAGGGCGCCGAATCAGGGGGGAACCCGAATTAAGGGCCCCTCCTTTTGTTTCATCGATCTACTCCAAGATGGCCTCAAGAGCGCCCTGGGGCTCCCAAGAGCGCCCCAAGAGGGCCCCAAGAGGCGCCCAGACGGCCCCAAGAGGCGCCATGAGGGCAAGAGGCTCCCAAGAGACCCCGAAGAGGCCCCCCGAGGCACCCAAGACGCCCCAAGAAGCCCCTGGGACCGCCAAGGCCCCCAAGACGCCCCAAGAGCCCTTCAAAACGCTTCCAAGAGACATCCGAGGAGACTCTGAGAGGCAACTGGGCACATTTTCTGGATGGGCTGGTGGGGGTACTTTTTTGTCCGCGACCGTAGCGAGAAGTCGCACGGCGTCAAGTCACAGCGCGGCCAACGAGCAGCAGACTAAAATTGCGGCCTAAGACGGAACCGAACGCGCGCGACTGGCGGGGGTACTTTTTTGATTGCGAACGACGCGGAGGCAGCCGCGCACCGTCAAAGGGTCGACCAGCACAGGGCCAAGGCGCACAGCGCAACTGTCGCCAGCGAAGCGCAGGAAAAGAAGGCCACCATCGTGGGCGGCGAAGACTACCAGGCGAAGCGCAGCGGCAACGCGGCAGGGCGAGGGCGAACGAAGAACGGAGGAAGAAGGCGGAAGAGCGAACAACAAAGGAAGAAGAGGAAAGAGCACGAGCGGAGACGAGAGGAAACGAGACGGAAGAGAGGGCAAGCCGCGGCTCACGCCCACATCGGGTGAGAGACGACCGCCCCTTGCCGAACCACTGGAACTTGTAGTAAGGCTGACCCAAGCTAGCACGACGCGGGCAGCTTTACCGTCACAAAGGGGCCGCAAATATGGGGGGCGAGTGCGCGCACAGCACGCAGGCACCATCCGCCAGGTCAGCTCCAGGACCGCGCAGCCCGCCGAAGGTCGCCGCCACAGCGAGCCACGAAGGGGCAAACCACGAGTCCAGCCAGGTGAACATACGGAACCGTTTCGAGTCCTCCGCCGATGGAGTACACCAGTGGCGACAATGGCATACCAAGCCAGCCGGGGGGGGGGGGCCAGCCTGGGCCTGCCACGCACGCAGCTCAAGGCGGGGGGGTGCGCCGCCCGAGACCAGAAGCTCGATGGGGGACCAGCTCGGGCACGCCAGGCGGGCAGCCTCTGTGCGAAGGGGGGGTAGCATCGCCTGAGACCTGCCGCCCACTGAAACATATTGGTGACTGGCCTGGGAGCGGCAGCGGGGGGGGGCATCCACATGCCGCTATGTGCCGAAAGCGAAGTGGGGGCTCGCGTTTGCACCGCATGTTCATGCCGCGTGTGCTGGTAGGGCGCAGCTAACAGCCGCAGAAACGTGGGAAAGAGGCAGTCGCCTGAGACAGACTGGGGTAAGACACGGAGAGGCAGGCAAGGGGCAAGCCGGTTGCTGTCAACGACCAGCAGCGGGGAGAGCGGGGATCACCCCCCCGTATTGCCAGGCCGATCTATGTTGACTACCTCTCTCCATGGGGTTCGCCTGCCGCCGCAGTCCACTCGCAGGCCTGCGAAATGCGAGGCAATGCCCACTGTGAACCATCTTACCTGATAGTATAGCCTTCCACGGAAGCCTGATCGCACATGTGACCATATCTGGAACGTCGATGCCATTGCACCCACTCTGTTGTACTGCAGCGTCGATGTGTGTCCTAGAGGTACTATATCCTCCCACGTGAGAAAGAGCTTCTGACGCACTGCAACCTCCTGCTTGGTTTTCTCGGTCACTATCGGACCTGCCCGCTCATACTTATACCGTGCACGCGCTAAGAAATGGAAAGAAGCGCGACTACCTGAGCACAATTGCTGCACGGGTAGAGCGGCAAGCACCGCAGGATGCGGGGTGTGAACGATAGTTTCGCCAGAACGGTAGCTCTGCCGCGCCGGGTCGCAGCCATCAGCAGCAAGATAAGGGGGGATGTACCACATGAGACGTTCCATTGCTCGGACGGAGGGCAAAAGCCGCAGTGCGAGGGGGTTGTCTTCGCCTGCAGTGAACCCATCCTGTGGTAGGGGGCAGTTAGCAGGCACGGCAGGCTTGCACTGGCAATGCATGAGAATGCCCCGTGCTCTGGTAGGGTGCAGCTAATCAGCCGCAGGAAAGGGGGAACGATGGTTTTCGCCTGAGACAAGTGAGGGGGCCGGCCTGGGAGCGGTGAGTGGGGGGGTAGCCGGACGCAGCCCAGTGCCAAGGGCGGGGTGAAGAAGCCCGCGAAAGCCCGGCGGGAGTGCCAGGTGCCCTGGTAGGGTTCAGCTAACAACCGCAGAAAGGTGGAAAAGATGTTTCTGCCTGAGACATACAGGAGGTCGGGCGGGGAGCGGCACAAGGGGGGGTAGCAGGATGCCGTCCACGACCAAGGGCGGGGTTGAAGTGCCACCCCACGTTGCAGGATGGTGGGTATGAACGCTAGCCTCGGAGAGGTGGTGACGACGATCAGCTGGGTTGCAGCTGACGGCCGCAGGAATAGGAGGGATGGTACACCTGAGCCTCCAGTTGTTTGGACGGAGTGCAGATGGCCGCGGAGCGAAAGGAGGGTAGCTTCGCCAGCGATGTGCGCGTTGTCCGGTAAGGGGACCGACAGTCGCGAAATCTTGCACAGTGGCAACGCATGGGACTGTCCGGTGTACTGTCGGTCACCCGCAAGGTTCTGTGGAGCCGCACGCAGCGGGTCATGCTGTGGACCTCGTCCCGTCGAATCGGCGGTAACCGTGTCGACGCCGCTCGGTGGAGCCGACGAGGAGGACTCCTAGGCACGCGTGCGTCGACGAGCCTGTCCCGCCGTCGACAGCTGTCGAGCTGATAGGAGTCTGAAAGTGGGGCAGCGAGGGGCTGCAAATGGGAGCCGCGACGGCGCTAGCAATACGGAAGGCCGCAGAGGGGCCCGGCCCCTGGCCGCCTACGGCGAGCTGGGGAGGCGGCAGCCATCCAAGGGGGATGCGCCGCAAGGGGTGCCCCGGCGAGGGGACCTAGAGCCTGCGACGGGCCATGAGCCCGAGCCTGGCACGTCCGAGGCGGCATTAGCACGTCAGTGGAGAGCGCGCGGTGGCAGGCGGGCCCACCGCCAGGTAGGCGGAGCTCGCCCAATCATTGCACTGTCGGCCCGCGGTTGGGCCTAGAGGAATACTCCGGCTGGGCAACCAATCGGGTCATCCTAGGAGCCCGCCGTCCTGCTACGTTTGACATCGCCCCCTCCGCGCAGCCCTTTGCCTTTGCCCTTGTTGGGGGTGTCTGAGTGCGCGGCCCTCTCCTGGACGCGTGCACGCACTATGTTCCACCGAACTCCGAGCTGGAGTTTTTCGTCCATCGCGAAGGCGATGCAATTGAAACGTGCCCACTCGCGAAGGAAGCAGGAGTACGACTCAGGCTGCTGGAGTGAGGGGTCGGCACAGATCCTGTCTGGGTTCGGGAAGTACACGGTTGTCCACTGATGCCAGATGGCGATGAAGTAAGCGCCCATGTCCTTTTGTAGTCTCTTCACGGTCTCTACGGAGGTTTCCCCGACGTGTGGCTGGAGAGAGAGACTCTGTCGAAAGGGGTTCGGTAGACGTACTGGTGGGTCACGGGGTCGCGGCGGTTGTGCCCCTCGTCCTGGTGGTGTCTGGAATGGCGGTGTTTTGGTTGGTCCTCGGACTGTGCGCTAGCATGGGAGGGCCAGGGAGCCCCCTGGGTGGCACGCGACTGGTCGGACGTGCCCCAGCGCTCGTCAGTCTCCCAATTGTCCCACCCGGACCACTGCGTCCAGCGGTTGCCGTGAGGGCTGCTGCGGCCGGTCTAGTTGTGCCGACGCGAGCGGCGCTCGCACTATTCTTCATTCCAGTTTTGACGGATTCTCGTGCCTCTGGGCGGGCGGGCCCTGGGTATGCTGGGGGGACGCGGGGTGCTCCGACCAGGCGAGCGCGTGAGGTTCCTGTCGTCCGCGGCGGCGAAAGCGGGGGCCGAACGGGGATCGGCGGGCGAGGTGGGAGTGCACACGCTGTTTTCCTGCACGGGGTTGGCTGGGGAGCGAACGACCACAGCAGGATCGGAGTTCGGCGACGGGGACAGCACGACCAGGGCGCCTTTATAGACCTTGGGCGCAGTAGGCGGGGTGCACGAAGGGGCTGCGTCGGCTACCCCCGGAAAAACTGGTGGGGATATTTTTTGTTTGGTTCGCGGCTCCAAGGCAAATGTCAGGGAGCAAACGCAGCGTCCGGGATGCGGTACGGAGCGAATTTGCGTACAGCCGTCACTGTCGACAGCCGTTCGCATCTGCAAGACATGCTCGCAGTTGCACATGCACAGTACAAAATGAACTTAATTCGCAGGCAAACGCACATAGGCGCAGCAGCGAACCAGAAGGCACGAGCTACAAGTGCGAAGACAGCAGAGTGAGTCGCCGATGCGGCGCCAGACTCGAACTGACAGAGCGAAAGCGAGAGGGGCGACCAGCACTCACAAGGCGAAGCCAAGTACAATGGTGAGGCGGAAAGGGGGCCTGTCGCAACGAACTCACTGACGCAACAAGGTGAGTGGACCACGTAGAAGCCTTCAGTAGACGAAACACTGATGTGCACTAGCAGTGACCACCTGCAGCTGAAGCCAGTGCGCGCACACCGTATCCGACACACTCAGTTCGGGGGCATAACGAACTGGTGGGGATACGCGAAGCGTCAAGAATTTAGTCTGCTGTTCCTCCTCCTCCTCCTCCTCCTCCTCCTCCTCCTCCTCCCCTTCCGCCGCTTCCTTCACTCCCACGTCCTTCTGCCCCCACCCCCTATCCTCTTTCGTAGTCCATGTTTCGTGGCTTCCTTCCCCGCTCTCTCCTGCCGTCTCCTCGCTTGCGCAGAGGAGTGGCATCACTGGATGGCTTCGTCGCACTCGCGAAGAATTCGCTCGTAGGTTATATAACAATGCGCTACTGAAAGATGTTGGCCCTCAGATAAAAGCCCAGGGTCGCTTGGATGTGATCGCCAAGCGGCTAAAAAACGATGCGGCCAAAAGACGCACCAGCAAAAGATCTGAGGACTCGAAGATAGCGCACTGACTGCGGAGGCATTGCGGATTGCAACACCGCTTGCATGTCCAGTCAGAACGCCGCTGGACTTGGAAAGACACTATGTTTACAACTATACTGGCTAGAAGGAGGCCGTAGCGGAGCAGGCTCACAAGTCCGTTGAGAACCTCACGAAGTTATGCGCCGCCTGGTGCTGTCGAGCCGTCCTTGTGTCCAGCTGAGAGGGCTGGCGCCCACAAAGCACAAGCCGTCGCGCCTGACCGGCCGTGCTGCCAACCACCCCCCCCAATCAGACTATCTCACACTCCGATGGCAGCGCCGACGCTCGCTGCGACCGCGCCGACGTTGAAGAGCTATGCCGTCATCCTCACCCCCTGCGCCCAAAGAAACGACCCCTCAAGTCGAGCCTCCTGACACCGCCCTGCCGAGAAGAACTCCGACCGGAACTCCGACCTCGAACTGGCCGTTTCACGTGGGAGGTCTCGCAAAATCCTTTTACAAGCTTTTCCGAGCTGCTCAAGAAATACAGCAAACCGAATCGTCTCGTGACGCGTGTGGACAGCAATCGGAATATCGATCGGACTTGTTACTGTGATTACTGCCGTCCGTGCTTAAGGGAACTTGTCGAATTACGCGTGCTGCCTATGGACCTCCTTCTCCTCCTCCCCCCTCAAGGTGGGGCAATCGACTCGACCAGCGAACGACTCATGCAGCCCAGCAAACTGCTCCGGGCAGAAAGGCACAGGCTGGCAGAGCGCGAATCTGAAAAGATGCGCGGGTCGCCCCCAGTTGTGCGGAGAACGAGCCAACAACGAGTGACTTGAGAAGAGACGAGAGGGAAGAAACGAGGGATCCCGAGGTGGACGGGGAAGGGGGGAGGGAGAGCGCGGTTGATGACCAAAAGATCACCAAAAAAAACTATGCTCTGCTGGTGCGCGACGGCAGCTGGGCACGAATGCTGCAGTCCGCTCCAGACGCATCGGACGCGACGAGTTGGAGCACCTGAGCATCAGAAGGAGACCCGATATCCCAGTCCCGTGACTTCGCCGATACTTGCCCTTTGACCCCTATGGCATCATGCTTTGAAGACGCGTGCCTAGTGCAAAAAGAATGTGAGTGTGTGAGCCAAGGGTAAATGAAAACCTCTGAAGTATGTTCCTCAACCCCTCTAGCACGAGTGCAGCCAGTAACCAGCACCTCCGAAAGCGCCACCCTCAGTGCCTCACCAGCACGAGTGGGATTAGCACCACCGAAAGCACCACTACAGTGGAGTTATGGTGGACTGGATTAGGCTAGCCAGCGTCAGCTTACGATTACGCACGCGATTGCGGTTAATACGGTGGCGACGGCCAACTACGATAAAGTAAAGTGTGGGGATTGCCGCTGTCCCACCACCCCACCCCACCCCACCCCGTTGCGTTTTTTTCGGCTGTGACCCGTTAAACCAATAACTCGCCTAAAAGAGGTAGAGCCCATACCCCAGAATGGGAATGCTGCGTCCCCTGGGGTCCCCCAGTGCTCCTCAAACTTGGCATAGTTGAAAGATCGACGATTATATCACAAATCGATCACACTGGTTATCAAGTGATGCACGCACTTTGTTTCAGCTACAACGGTGTCCCCAGGTCCCGCCCAGCGTTCTACATGGTGTATTGAATACTCCTTCAGGGGGGCCAGCGCCCCCACCCACAAATCTCTTGCGCCTTCCCGCGTGATTTCTAGGCCTTCTCGCCCGACTTTAACGGAGGCCAGAGAGCTCCAAGACGACCCAAGAGTGTCCCAAGAGGATCCCCAAAAACGGTCCAAGAGGGTCCCGAGTCGGTTCAAGAGCGCTCCAAGACGGCCCAATATGGTCTCAGAACGGCCCTGAAGGCATCCGAGCCGCCCCAAGAGGCATCCAAGAGCACCCAAAGAAGACCCAAGAGGAAAAAGATATGGATTTCCTTCATAAGTGCTGACACATTGTCGCGCCCTTCTTCCGAGGCCGCAAAAGGGCCCAAGAGGTGAAAAGGGCTACGAGCCCCCAAGACGGCCCAAGAGGCCCTGGAGAGGGTCCCGAGAGGGACCAAAAGAAAAGGGGCATTCGGGGCATTCGAAGCCTTGACCACCAAGATGAGCCCCAAGATCTCCAACACGACCCCCAGAGGCCCGAGAGCCCCCCAAGTGGCCTCCAAGAGGCCTCCACGAGGCCGTCCAGAGGCCTCTCAAGAGACCCCAAGATGCCTCGGAGAGGCCTCTTGCACACGACCCATTGACGGCGGGGGCACATACGTGTACATACAGACACACATACATAGTTTCCCAAACGATGCTTGCACTGAGGCTTCTCACTTGGCTGCTGGCTCCTTGGCTTGCTTTTCGTGGACTTCCACCTGTGGCCGCCCGTGGCCGCCCCGTGGCCGCCCTGTGCGCTGGCTGCGTTTCCCGGCTTTTCGCCTGGAGGCCGCCCACGGCCACCTCGGGGCGGCCCTGTGCTCTGGCTGGGTTTCCTTTTCCTCCTCCTCCTCCTCCTCCTCCTCCTCCTCCTCCTCCTCCTCCTCCTCCTCCTCCTCCTCCTCCTCCTCCTCCTCCCCCCCCCTCCGCCCCGTGTCGACGCGCCGAAAAGGTCGTGCAGAGTTGGCCGCCCGTTACCACTCCGTGGCTGCCCGGTCCGCTGGCCGGCGTCTGCGAGTGCTCGATGGCGGGCTCCCGCGGCCGGCTCGTGGCCGCCCCGTGCGCAGGCTGGCGTGTCTGCATTCGCACTCATATGCAATGTCCTGAAGAATCGTGGGCCAGCGTGGACCCCAAACAATGCGTGCGAACGCAGTGCAACCTATGCGGTGCAGTCCATGGAGTGCCAACCAATGCGGACAACATCCGCAATGCAATCGACGCGATGCAATCTGAAGTCGCACCACATTGGCTGCAACGTGTCATCTTAGGATATGATGTGCCATGCCCTCATGGACTATGTCATGATATGCGAAATTATCCTGGGCTATGCTATGTTATACCAAGTTATGCTATGCTATACGATGCCGCGGTACAAGAGTTGCTAAGATATGGCATGACATGATGTGCCGTGCTGTGATATGTTATGCTACACTGTGAAGTAATGTGCTGCCGTATGCTGTGCTATGATGGCATATGCTGTGCTGTGCTATGCTGTGCTGTGCTGTGCTGCGCTATGCTATGCTGAGCTGAGCTGTGCTATGCTAAGCTGGGGTACGCTGTGCTATGCCATGCTGTGCTTTGCCATGCTGTTCGAACGGACGTCTGCGAGCGGACGAGTGCGAGTGGACGAGCGCAAATGGCGGCGGCGGACAGCGGCCACGGGCGGCGGCGGGCGGCGACGAGCCGACCGGACCAGCCCTGGACGAGCGCAGGTGGTGACGACGGACGGCGGCGTCGGGCGGCGGCTAGCTGGTCGGACCGTCACTGGGGCCCAGCGACGACGGCGGCGACGGACGGCGATGGGCGGCGATGAGGTGGCCAGACCGCCACCAGGGCCCAGCTGCCATAGAGCACAAGTAGGAAACCCTACGTAAGCACTGCCTTGGAA